TATATATATATCTTCTATTTAAAAAATCAGAACACTACCTTACACAAATAATAGTCCTGAAGTATTCATTTATTTCTGCCTTCTTGGGAAATACAGTGAACCTCTGCTTCTTACAAACAGATAAATTCTTAGTGAAGTCATTGCATAGTTCTGTAGTAGTGTAAACACAAGTAGCATTATAATTAGTTTTAATACAAACAACATTGGAAAAGAAATGGCCCTCGTATCACTCTCTAACCATTCATGTTGTGCTATGAGAGATTAGACTGTTTTTGTGTATTTAGTTAACTTTGCTCATGCAGATTATCCACCAGATTTACCGTGTAGCAGGAATGCTGGGAACTCCACTGAGACCTCTCTAATGGGTCACATGACCGTGGCTTCGGGGGGACGGCGAGGTGACATCTGCTTCCTGATCTGCACATTCGTGCCGCAACAAGCCCCGTCTGAACAGCACAGCGCATGGAGAATAAAACCAACACACCACGTCGTCTTAGCACAACTGCATGTTTACAAAATATAGAGCTAGTTTGAGAGACTCTCACTCAAGTGACTTCCTGCGTAGTGCTTCAGCGACAATGGGTTCTTCACGTGTTATTGTGAAATCTTAATACTTAGACTTTGGCCCATTCGCGAAGCAAATGATAAGACTGGCAAACGCACGGAATGTGTCTTAAATGTACTCTGGCTGAGAGCCGTGGGGCTTTTCCTGCGGTGAATAGCTCTTTGTTTAGCCGCAGAACCCCCTTAAGCGGGGTGGCTGCTGATTGTAGCTGCCATTGAATGCTTTACAATGGAGTTGGGAGACATACTTGAGCGAGAGAGGGTGGGGAATGGGAATGAGTGGGATTGAAAGCCCCGTCGGCGGGTTGTGCTTTTCTGCCACCTGGTGGTGAGGCAACAAGTTCAAGTCGGATGTGTTGGTGGTCATATCTCTGGTGCAGGTGGTCTGTACATTGCTGTGAACGGCCTCAGTGGGTTTGTGGGGCAGCCGTTTGTTTGTGACCTGATTCTCTGGTTGGTCAAAGCTGTTAGTGCAATCGATTCATTTTCATCTGTCTTCTCCCAGCGCTGTTGTTGTAGTCCAACAGTCTGAGTCAATGTTGTGTTGAGTTTCACAGAGTGCTATTGATCATTTGACCACTAGTTTCTCTTGGGGTTCTCACATGTGCACAGACTAAATGGACTAAAAGCATTTTGTTAGTTGCAAATTGTACAAATGTATAAAGTGAGTAGTCATTACGTTAACATCTAGGGCTCTTATTACATTCCCTTGGAGCAAAGGGCTATTTGTTTTATTCACAGGTTTGCATTTATAAGGCTTGAACCAGCATCCTTCTGGTTACATGTAATGCCATATGTAATGCAATAATGTTCAGAATTCATTTCTCTCAGACAATACTAAACTCTTTCCTATTTACAACCCATCAAATTTCCATATCAAGCAGATTTTAAATATTTTAAACCTCTAAAAGTCTTTTTTTATGCTGTATTTGTTTACATACACTACTGTTAAAAGTTTGTCATCTATAAGATTTTTGTTTTGTTTTTGAAAGGCTGCATTTATTTGATCAAAAATACAGTAAAATCTGTAATTTTGTGAAACATTATTGCAATTTAATTTTTTTGTGTTAATATATAACAGTCATTACTCCATTCTTTAGTGTCACGTGATCCTTCAGAAATCATTCTAATATGCTGATTTGATGCTTAAGAAGCATTTTTATCAATGTTAAAAGCAGTTGTGCTACTTAATATTTTTGTCTAAACCAGGATGCATTTTTTTCAGGATTCTTTGATGAATAGAAAGTTCAAAAGAACAGCATATATTGTATAATTGTCTGTAATTTGATCAATTTTATGTGTCTTTACTGAGTAAAAGTTAAACAGAAAATCTTTAAAACAAATCTTAACCAAAATAATTTTAACAGTATGCATATAGTGTATTTATGGTTATTACAAAAATACACACAAGATGAATTGTTTATTTTTAGTATTTTATTATACCCCTGAAACATTCCTAAGTACTCCTGTTTAAAAATGACTGCTGTAAATCAGTGCCCTGAATGATCTGTGAGAATTCACTCTTATTAAATAAGTTATTCATGTGTGTTCAGTTGTGTTATGAGGACAATAGAGTCTGAATTAGATGCTTGTCTGTGTCTTCTGCCGGCTGTGTGCAGGGGTTTTGGGACATTACTGACCTATTCCTCAGGGTTACCACGGCTCTGCTGAAGGCCTCCATTCCTCTTCATGCCTCTCTCTTTGTCTCCTTACAGCGCTGGCATTGCTGTTGGTTTCTACGGGAATGGCGAAACCTGTGATGGCGTGAATCGGCTTACCTACTCCCTCCGCCATGCCAATCGCACCGTGTCAGGAGTGGACAGACTGGTGAGGCACTGATGCACACTGGGTTATGTTCACATAGTGCTCCATCTCCCAAAAAACACACCAGAGCTTGACAATCTCCATGACATATTTATATGTTATACTGTATGATCTGTAGCTCATGAGAAAAGAACTTACAAAGCAAATGTGTGTGTCTGTAGGTGTCAGAAAGTACATCAGCTCAGAGCCAGACTGTGGACGAGAACCTTCGGCTACTAAAGGACCAGTATGCAAAGCACACAGACTACCTGTCCATCGTACAGAAACTCCAGGATCAGCGGAGTGAGCTTGTTCGTCAGATGACTGCCATTCCCTTTTGGAGCGATCTCAGCATCTCCCTGGAGGATCTGGCAACCCAGATTGAACTATATGACTGGTACCGGTATGTACTTTGATTTCTTTCACAGGAATGGCAATATCACTGAAAGACATATGTAGGGATGTCAAACATTCTAGTTCAGTACCAAATCAATTCCAAAATTTAAAAGAGAATACAGATTTCAGTACTCAAGTTCAAGTATATGAACATTATTTATTTTTAATAAAGGAACATTTATATATATTTTTTTTATTATAAAACATTTGCAAAAAAAGAAGAAATATTTATTTACCTGCGTGTCATGTGACCATTAAGTGACATCAGAGAACTGTGAACATGTGAGAGTGTTATTAAAATATTAACTTAAAATATAAGGGTTGCTTCAATAAGTAAACTTATTTGGTAAAAGAAATTTGGCTGACAAAAAAAAATACATTTAGGAATCCCTTATACTGGTAACTGAAATGTTAGTGTTGCGACAACCCTAGAAATTTTTCTGGCAGACATTTTGAAATGTACTGTTTAAAGGTGTAAAACCTTTCTAACATCCAAAAAAAGTCTTGGGCGAAAAAGAAAAAGTGCTCAAAGGATTTCTCTGTATCGCATAAGTTGTGAACAGTGCTCTCTTAGAGAGAATAGAAATTAGTATTCTGTTCACTCGCTGCCTCTTTCCACCTCTCGTCAGCCATTTACTTTTCTCTCTGAAAGAAATTGCTTTGGGGTCTGTTTATTTGCCTAAAAACCCAAATAAGTTTAATTTCAGGCTTCCAAACAGGATAAAGCCAGAAAACCAAATAATTTTGGCTTTGATTTCAAAAAATTACCTTTTCTGAAAATGTAAATGGATCACTGAAGCTCACTGAAGAAAAGAAAACAATCAGCGATTAAATAACAATAAGAAACTAAATACAAGCAAAAGGACAAAATAAAACACTACAGTAGAACGCATAAAAAATGCTACATTCATTGTATAAAGTAATCACATGTATAAAAAAAACTGCATATTCTTCACCGTCTAAATTAAATATATATTTCTTCTTATTAAAGTTACAAAAGTGATTTAGAGCAGTGAGAAATTTTCTCTCTTTTGTTGTTTGATTAACATGAATGACAGACAGCAAGAATAGACTACTGTCACTTTAAGAGCTGTCCAGATCCAATATACTGTTACACATGTTTTCTTTCCCAGCTGTGAAAGCTGCTTTCACTTAAGACCTAAATTACTGTTTACGAAGATACTTGCAAAGACGGGCATTTTGACACATACTTTGTGTGTATTTAACCGTTCAAAATCTACAAATCGGCAAAACTAACTCAGTTCAATACTCCCGTGCTCTATGAGCACCGTCTTCACATGCGCGCACCTCTCTGACAGTGTGTGCATATAGCAAAATGAGTTCTCTTTCACTGCTGATTGCGTTTCAACGGCTTAAAATCACTTGTTTTAAACCGCAATGCTTAAAAACATGTGCAAACAATAAATTTTAGTAACCATGTAGCACAGCAACGTCACGTGAGCGTGTAATCAAAACAGTCCTTAGACTGCTGTCACTTTAAGAGCTGCCCAGATCCAATATACTGTCACACATGTGTCTTCTTTCTCAGCTGTTTGCTTTCACTTAAGACCTAGGTTACCGTTTACGAGGATACTTGCAAAGACGGGCATTTGACACATACAAGTGTGTATTTAACTGTTCAATGCCAATAAAGCGACAAAAATAACTTTCCCACACTCTATTAGCACCATCTTTACGTGCGCAAGCCTCTCTGACAGTGCTCAGAAACAGTCTCTCAGACAGCGTGCATTAGTGATGCGCGGATGAGCTAAAACGTCACCCGAATCCGCAGCTTCAAATAAATTATCCACCCGCTCATTCATTCATTCACTCACTAAAATACAGGACTGACAACCGTATTCTGCTGCTGTGTGGACGTGGCCAATGAGACTATATTTAGAACAATAAGCTAATGTGATTTTTGTATAATTTTGCCTTCATTTTGCAAATTAAAAGTCGTGCTGAAAAAGAAAAATCGGTGAGGGACAGGCCAAAAACCTTACCCTTATCAGCATAAATGTTATTTAAATTATTTAAAATAATATTTCATTGACCTTAATTTGATGTATTATTGATAAAATAATGCATAGTATTGTTGTTTTTAAATCACACATTTTTTTTTTTTGTTATATTAATTCTATGTTTGATTATTTTTTAGGGACGCAAAAGGCACTGATTTCGTGGAATGACCCTTACTCAATATAGCATGTAGGTTAGATAAGTAAAAAAAAAAAAATCCACACAGACTGTCAGATTAAATCAATCAGTTGAAAACAGCGTGAGTGGTTCAGCTGTACTGCTTCTTCTCGCTTTCACTCTCTCAAAGTGGCTTCACATCAGCGCATCTCGCCTGCACTACAAGAGCTGCTGCACACTGCAATACAAGACTTTCATTCGTGTTTTGGGACAGTTGACAGAACTGTCACTCGCCTAATTCGGTCATTGTTGCATCATCACAAAAATGTATTATTTTCACGTCTTTTTAAGCCATTCGGTACTCGCGCTCTCCAGAGGCGCGTGCGCTCACAGTCACATCCAAAGCGCGTACTGCGAGTACCAAATTGAGAAAGTACTGTCGGGTTTGTCTTAAGTTAATGTAAACAGTTGCAAAATAAAACGCATGAGTATCAGTATTGGATCCGTGAAATAGGTCTTGTGACAGCAGCCTAGCTGTGCCGTCTTTTATTAATGTTAATCAAGCAACAAAACTTACTGCTCTTGACTAAATAATGTTTTGTTGAATAACTTTTAATGTTCATTTACAGTTTATTCAATTTCTGTAGCCTATTTAAAACATGTTCATAATTTAGAAAATGTAGTTAATACTTGCATCATTAATGATTTATTTTATCCACCCGCGACCCACCCGCAAATAATCAGAATGCATTTTTTTATTACCCGACCCACCCGATCCGCGGATTATCCGCAGCGCCCGCGGATATAACCGCCATCCGCGCATCACTAGCGTGCATATAGTGAAATGAGTTCTGTTTGGCTGCTGATTGAGTTTCCATGGCTCAAAATCACTTGTTTTTTAAATCGAAATGCTTAAAAACGCGTGCAAATGAAATGTTTTCGTGACCACTTAGCGCAGCAACGTTACGTGAGCGTGTAACCGCAATAGAGACAATAGTCAAAAATCTCTACCAGTCGACAAATTACTATGGTGGGTATATCGCCCACCCCTACTTACCAAGGCTGCACTTATTTTATCAAAAATACAGTAAAAACAGCAATACTGTGAAATACTATTACAATATTATTATTATTATTTTTTGCAACCTTATGAATTATCAATTTTGTGCATCCTTGGTTAGTAAAAATATAAATTTCTTAAAAGAAAAACAGCATATTGACCCTTTTTCATATATTTATATTTCATTATTTAAATATACAAGAGACAACAGATCTGTGAAGCATCTTATACTATTTGTTAATGACTTGTTAATGTTTCTTAAAGTGTTACCATTTTTGAGTTTGCAATACATTGTCGTACAGTGTCTGTTACATTGATTGTGGGTTTTGCTGTGTTTGTAATGTTAATGTGTTGTTGTCTTTAGGTGGCTGGGCTACCTGGGTCTGCTGCTGTTTGATGTGCTCATTTGCCTGCTGGTGCTCTTCGGCCTTATCCGCAACTCCAAAGGAACTCTGATTGGGTAAGGCTCGACATATGGATGTGTCTTTGGGTCATGTGTGGTACACCAGGGTAAATAGAGCTTACAGAAACTTGCAAATGACCAGCAATATTTGATCTGCTGACCCACAAAGGTCTTTCAGTTGTCAGGGAGCCATCCACTCGAGGTACACAAGATTGATTTATGAAGTGTTAGTTATGCTCTTCTGTTTTAGCTCCAACAGAGAAATTATAAAGTATCTTTCTCTCTGACCCCCCCCCCACCATCTGGGAAGTTTTAAATCAGAGATGGCACAGAAAAACAACTGTGTGACAAGCTCTCCACAGTGCCTGAACAACAAAATAGCTCGAAAAACAGACACATTAGCACTGTTCCAAAACCGCTCTATATAGAAAGTAACTTTCTGCCACACTACCTCATATACCCCCGGTTTCACAGACAAGGCTTAAGCTAGTCTCAGACTAAAATGCATGTTTGAGCTGTCTCAACTGAAAATATCGTGCTCTGACATATCTTAAAATATGTCAGTGTCATTGTTCTGTGTCAAGATGCACACCTGTAATGTTTTCTTCTAAGGCATTTTTGTAAAATTTGCTTAAATATCTTAATTGAACTAAGGTCTAGTCCTGGCTTAAAGGGGTCATATGATGCGATTTCAATTTTTCCTTTCTCTTTGGAGTGTTACAAGCTCTTGGTGCATAAAGAAGATCTGTAAAGTTGCAAAGACTAAAGTCTCAAAACCAAAGAGATATTCTTTATAAAATTTAAGAGTCAGCCACACCTACCTAAAATGGCTCGTTCTAACACGCCCCCACATACCTACGTCACGATGTGTAATGTTATTTTTAGCAGCATCATATGACCCCTTTAAGCTAAGCCCCGTTTGTGAAACCGGGCCTTAAAGTGCTAAGAGACTCACCAATAAGAGTATCCCAATCGGTGTACTTATGCACTCTTCTATGCTCTTTTGTAGTGTGTTGACACTGAAAATTCCAAAAAGAAAAAATCACATTATGCTGGATGACAAAAATAACCGTATAAAATTCATACACGAGACAGTATAGGGCAAACTGGATACTATTTAATTTGGGGCGCAACTAGAGATGTCACAAAGCTAACAATGCAACAGTGTCCACCCATCTTTTCAGCAGCCTTGGTTCCAGTAGTATTTTTCCTATTCATTTTTCCCCATAAGTATTTAAAAAAAAAAGTCTTTCTTTATAAGCCATTAACCAAACCAACCATCTAAGAGGTAAGTCACAACATTACAAATTTTGCCTTTTTGTCGCCCAACTCTGTATGTTTTCCATGAATCGTTTTATTGGACTGTCCAGGTTTTAGAATTTTTATCCTGTATAAATCTAAAGGTATTGTATAATCTTGACTGCTATATTTTTAACTTTGGTTTTTATTTTATTGTATTTATGTAAACTTCTCTTTGTTGTTTTTTTTTTTTTTTTGGTTTTTGTTTTTTTTGTAATTCAGTTTTTGCAATTTTTGCAATTTAGCCTCAGATGCTGACATGGCCTTAAAATCCAATACTGCCACTGTCATTTTGTCTGATTTTCAAATACTTTTCTGCTTCAAATCAAAGGTACAAAACTGTGTACCGTGTTTTGGTGCGATTTGCTTGTCAGTTCTCTGATTTGTTTTAGATTTAGTTTTTCACCAGGAATTCCACTCTTGAACATGATTATTTTAAAAACAGATTTAAAAAATAAGTTAAAATGATGCTGATGGCTTCAACAAAGGCATTTACCATTGATTAACAACTTCATAGCTCACAGTAGGTCTGTCTTTAAAGGTCTATAAGTTATTGTTAAAAATCAATTCCCCTATGGAGAAAATAAATGGATTTTGACTTCTGGAACCCCACTGTTGCATTCTGTACTCTAAGAATACAAATAAAGCAAAGCACACAAACATTGGTTAAAATGTATATTTTTATTAGATGGAATGTATTTATTGAGATATATACTGTATATAGATTTATAAATGAAGTGAAGTGACATGTGGCCAAGTATGGTTACCCATACTCGGAATTAGTGCTCTGCATTTATCCCATCCAAAGTGCACACACACAGCAGTGAACACACACACTGTGAACACACACCCGGAGCAGTGGGCAGCCATTTTTTTTGCTGCGGCGCCCGGGGAGCAGTTGGGGGTTCGGTGCCTTGCTCAAGGGCACCTCAGTCATGGTATTAAAGGTGGGAGAGATTCTAGGTTGCCTTCTCATTGAAGCATACATGCTGTGTTGTCTTAGCTGTCTTGTGTGGCATGCCTATCCTTTGAAACAGCCTTTGTGTTGGAAGTGTGTAGCTTAAAATGCTGTCTGGGTAGGTAGGCGGCATACTAGATTTTGGAACAGTGCTATTGTGTGTAAGTAAGCGAGATATTCTCTGGAAGGTCTGTTCAGTTGTATGTTGGTTTCCTATGTGTGCTGGAGTACCTCAGGGACATGTTGTGGGGCCAATCATGTTCAGTCATTTAGCAGATAGTGCACAACTACTTCCACCAGACCTGCCAAAAACACAGTGTTATGGATAGTCGTTTAACCTGCTGTGTCTTATACCGATTTCCTCTAGCTTATCTTATTCACTATACGTTAAGACATTTAACGTTTCGCATTCACATTATATAGCGAAAAGGCAGGTTTGACTTTTGGCCATGTCAGAAGATAAATGTCAGGATATTGATTTGCTCTGCAATAAAAGTTGTCACTTGCTAAAAGCGTGAAATCTTTAGGTTGCCATAGTTCAATCCTGACTCGTGGCATTTCATGATACTACTTGACTTGGCATTTATTTAAAGGTACAGATGGAAGCATAATTTTTCTTAATGTACACATCACCAAAAAATTCCCTTCAGTGTCTGACTGTTTTATCTGGAACATGTTGATTTTAGAGTTATGCTGCAAACAGTATTTTTTTTTTTAAGAATTCAGATTTTTTTTTTTTTCTTCCCTCCAATAAAATAAGCATCCTTGAATAAATTTATATAAAGAAATTATATTTTAAAATATAAATGATTAACTATTTTATTTAAGTTTAACATATTGCAGATTAGCAGACTAAAAAATAAATAATTATTTTTAATGTGTGTGTATATATGCTAATTAAAATAATAAATAAATATTGTATTTGATTTTATATATTCACACAGAGAGAGAGATAAAGAAATTATATTTAAAACAAGGAAATAACTCTTTTAATTAAATTTAACATTGCAGATTAGCAGACTGTAAAAAAATAAATAAAAAATATTTATTTTTTTTTATTTGCATATATATGCTAATTAAAAAGAAATAATATAAATAAATATTTATTGTATTTTATTTCATATATGTTTACAGTCTGCTAATCTGCAATATGTTAAATGTTATGCTCAAACGTGGGCATTAGATATGAAGGTGAGCAGATATTTTTGTAGAAGTTTGTTTTACACAAATGTGAGGCTCGAAATATAACAACGTGCTGTATGGATGATAGCAATCCATGTGTGCTTATTACTTAATGGTTTTGAATCCCACTGTTGCTTCTATAATTTTACCACCATTAAATTCATATTATAGATGAAAGTTCTGAAAATTGTAGTGGGATGAAAGTTTTTTTTAAGCAGAAAAGCCCAGTTGAGGGGATTCCAACCTTTTAAAAGATGATAATATGTGTACACTGTATATAATGATGGCAGAAATGCTGATTATCTGTGTTCTCTTATTTAAAGGTACAGATGGAAGCTGTACAACGTGCTGTATGGATGATAGCAATCCATGTGTGCTTATTACTTAATGGTTTTGAATCCCACTGTTGCTTCTATAATTTTACCACCATTAAATTCATATTATAGATGAAAGTTCTGAAAATTGTAGTGGGATGAAAGGTTTTTTTAAGCAGAAAAGCCCAGTTGAGGGGATTCCAACCTTTTAAAAGATGATAATATGTGTACACTGTATATAATGATGGCAGAAATGCTGATTATCTGTGTTCTCTCAGGGTGTGTTTTCTGGGTGTGTTGGCGCTGGTAATCAGCTGGGGCTCACTGGGTCTGGAACTAACTGTCTCCTCGGTGAGTGTCTCCATGGCAACACTTCTCCACACAGAGGCAGGACAGTATTGTAGTGATGCTTCTTCGTCTTGATATCTTACTGCATATGCCCAAATTATAACTGTGGAATTACATAAAGCAGCCAGTAATAGTTAATCTCTGTGATTAGCAGCCTCTTTAGCATAGTTATATTATACAACTGCTTTAACGGGGAGATGTCATGCAATTTTTTGTAAACATAATCTAACACTCAGAATCTACACACTAACAGCAGTTAGTCAAATATAATCAAGGTAATTTTCATATTAACAATGTACAAACCTACAGATCAAAGTCAAAGCTAGTCAAAATGGACTTGTCAGTGGGTTGCCAACTACTAGTTGGCAAATCAGTTGCATGAAAGTCCCTGTATGACTAGGTTAGTTTCAGATTCACCAGGGCTTGATTGCATGCCTTTCTTAAGGGAAATTTAGATTAGATATTTTCTTGCTACTCCAAAATGCAGTTAAACAGAATTGAAGGATTTCAAGGTGCATTTTTTTAAAGTTAGACTATTTTTAGCTTGACATGCCGTCTTAAAAACAACACTTGTCAACCAGTTAAAGCACAGCAAGCTGGCAGGATGCTAATTAAACACTGTCGCTAAAAATCACAGCTTAAAATATAAACACTATCCTACAAGAGTTTGGAGTTGGTAAGATGTTTTTGAAAGAAGCCTCTTACCAGTCACCAAGACTGCATTTATTTGATCAAAAATAGAGTAAAGTGAGTAATATTGTGATATATTTAAAAAAAAATGTTAAAATATAATTTATTCTGTGGTTTAATTTGAATTTTCAGCATCATTACTCCAGTCTTCAGTGTCTCATGATCCTTCAGAAATCATTCTAAAGTGCTGATTTTTATATTATCCATGTTGAAAACTCTTGTGTTGCTTAATATTTTTTGTGAAAGCCATGAAATCTTTTTTTTTTTTTTTTCCAGAATTCTTATAGAAAGTTAAATAGAAGGGAAAGCTGAAATTAATAAGAAGTTCAACATACAGTAGCAGCATTTATTTGAATTGGAAATCTTTTGTAACATTTTAAATATCTTTACTGTCACTTTTGATCAATTTAATGAATAAGCTGTCTGTAGAACACATGTTTTAACTTCAGGGAAAAATAGCATGCTATATAAAGTGTAGAATATTCTCCTTTAATATTAATTGTTTGCTTTTCTTTCTCATTTTAGGGCTTCAGTGACTTCTGTGCGGCGCCTGACATGTACATGACCAAGGTGTCAGAGCAGTATATGCTTATCAAGAAAGGTTTGTTTCAAGAGTTTTCTTTCAAATCTCACAGCTATTACATATCTTTTTTTTCTTTCTTCCACCTCCTGCTGATTTGTGAGTAAGATGCTTATGTTATTTTGAATCACTTGCGAGTCTGTCTGAATTTAGTCTGCCCTACATCTCCTGACGGAGGAGCGTGTTCTCTGAGGGATGAGCGGTCACGCAGGCATTCATTTCCTGTTGGCTCAGAGAGGAAGCGTTCCTTCTGACTTTCTCTTCCTCACTTTATCAGCATTACTCAACATAGCAGTTCCTCTTCAAAGTGACCTTATTATCCACAGGAGGCTGGATGCTCTCAGTAAATCAGGGGAAGAGACAACCGTGTGGGTGTTTTTTTCTCAGTCTGTGTTTGTTTTGCGTGTCCGAGTGTTCCTCTTTGGGTGGCCGGAGCAAGATGTTGATGATGGAAAGTTATGCTCACATATTCTGGTTAAGCCTAATCTAGGTGGCCGCAGGGTACGGCCCATTGGAAATTGGTCTTCCTATGACTTAATCCTTGGAAAGGAAGCATTTGCACTGGCCTGAACATGTGTGAATCCTGTTAAATGTGTTTAAAAGGTTTCATTATGTTGGACCTGTGGTTAGACATGGAGATGCAGAGGTTATATTGGGACTCGATGAAGGACCGCTAGAGTTGGTGCTATGCAGGAAGCAGAAGTGTGTTTGTATGCATGTGGATCTCTATATGCTTTCATGTAGTAGAAGCAGGTTTGATATGTCAACGTTGGCATCTGTTATGATTAATCACTTTGTTGGTCGGCTGAGAAGAGAAGAGCTACAGCAAGAACTTCTGGAGAACAGAGGAGAGAGATAAGAGGAAAGGAAGAGAAAACCGCTGAAGAATGTGGATGATAAACCATGTGACTATCAGCTTCACACACCCATGTAATTGTGTGTCTTCTGGGCTCTATTCTTATCTTTGTTCTTCCTATCTGCAGTCTTCCTCTCATTTGCTCTAAATAAGTCCTTAAAGGGATAGTTCAGCCAAAATTGAACATTCTGCCAATATGTATTCTTCGTGCTGTTTTTCCAGACTTGTAACTCAGAAGGAGAATTATGAGATTTCACCCTGGCTTTTTCAGTCTAACACAGTTTTGTAGTGACCATGAGCAAGTGCTCCATGTGACTTGTGCATTAAGTCTTCTGAAGCAGTGGTGTTATCTAAATGGTTATTAACTAAAACCATTAAAATGTTTTTTATTAATTGAAATATATCTAAAATAAAGTATAAATATTAGATTAAAATTAAAAAAATGAAACAGAAATTAGAAAACTGAAGTAAGTTGACTACTAAATTTACTAGAACTAAAACTGAAATAAAATTAAGCACAATAGCACATAAAATTACTGAAAATAGAATCAAATTGACTAAAATAGTATATAAATAATACTAAAATAACACTGTTCGGAAGTTAAAGCGAAAAGCAAAGTTTAATTGTTACCACATCACCAGATGAAGTGGCTCATAAAAAATTGGCTCAAAAAAAAAAATCTACTCCACTCAATGATTCATTATTTGATTTAACAGCTCACTGCAGGGGAGGATTTTCACTGAAAAAAAATCATGACAAAATATAGTCTGTTCCTCACACAAAACTATAACATGACTTCTGAAGAATTGGAATATAGCACACAGTTTGATTCTTGTTTGTCTTTTTTTTTTAGTTTGTCAGTCATGGTCAGTCACTGTGTATTACTATGTGGAAAAGAGAAGCAAAATGAATAGTTTGGATAAAATACTGGTGAAGTATGATTGCGTCATGAGGAAAAAAATATTTTGCTAGTGGGTTTTCAGAATTTGTCTCGCCATTCTAGAATAAAATAAGTCTTTGGAACATCATCAAAATATGCACATCAGATTTTAGCTTACACATTTCCACTAATTACATCGCTTTAGTCCAGAACTATATTTGGAGCAGTAATTCAGCCGGAAGCATTAATGGCTGTAGATGGAGACCACAAAGAAAGCTCTGAGTGTGTTCCTTCTGGCTATCACTGTCCTAGACTGACTCATCCTACTGCGTTTCCCAATAATAGAACCAAGACATTTCTGTACTTGCATGTCTGTGCCATCCATCGTGTCTCTTCTGTGAGGAAAGCCTCAGTATGTATCCCAGCATGTCTTCTGTGCTGCGCTGTTTAATACTGAATCTAGTTGTTTAAAGAGGCCATATGGGCCCATTATACAGACTGTGATGCATTTTTGAAATTATTAAAATCATAAATTTAGGGAACTTTTTATTTTCTTCATTTCATTTCTAATGGTACACTTTTGTTTTATATTAGCCTGGCTTTACACATTTTTTTTATTTATTTATTTTACTCATTTTTATACCAAAAATAGAATACCTGATTAGAATTAGGCCAAATGCTTTGGCTACTTCTACATGTAAATAAGCTCTGTTATGATGGGCTAACCTACTAGTTTATATGTTGTTGTTTTATTTAAATGACATCACAAAGTTTATTCATATCAAGTCTACTTGATGTTCACTCGATATTAATTTCAAACCCAGAAGATGACAATAGTCCAAACATGTATCTAATTTAAATGCTTTCCTCTTAAAAAATGAACAGTAATGCATGCTATAATTGTCCTCCATTATGTATGCAGTTTACTCATCTGATAACGTCGCAGAAGGATGTTAAATTTTACAATCATCATTGAAGAATATTTGTGAAACACTTCATAAATAAGATCTGTCAGTGCGCTGGCGTGTCCCCTGCCTCGCGTGAATCAGGATCTTTTACAGCCTGCAGTCATCGCGTCGTGAGTGGGATTTAAAGCTCTGCCTCCTCTCAGATCGTTTTTGGAAGCCACTCCATTGTCTTTGTTCGGTTTCATATGGGCATCATCAGTCACCCAATATTACATCCAATTACTGGAGGTTATTTACACATGACATATGAGCCTGTGGGGCTCTGGCCCTCTCACTGAATACTGTTACAACCTATAAATCCAGCACTGAACTCCACTACTACACTATACGCTCAGTTTAGCCTTTTGTATACAGCCATCCATGGATATAATTGAGAGGCCAGTTTATTCCCCTCATCATTGCCATAATTATGCCATTTATAGTGCAATCAAGGAGGCCAGTTGTATGGGATGGGGGAATTGGCTTGTTCATAAGCAGGTTATACTTTTCCCTGTGACCGCTGCCACGTGTGTCTCCACGTGTGTATTAATGATAGTGATGAAAGCATCATACTCCTCCTCAACAAACCCACCGCTCTGACGCATGTGTCCGTTTTTGATTCGCGTCCACGCAAGCTGCTGCAAGCTGCACATGAAGATGGCCCAAGACTCCATCTGCGTTGGCGTGTGGAGGTTTGTGAGAGGACTGTGTGAATTAGTACCATTTCCTGTGCAGAAATAGAAAGTATTTTTTTAACACTGCAGTCTAGAGCTTCATTTCCATTCATCTTTGCATTCACAGATCAGATTCATTGCATGGTAATTTTAATCAACTTCACAATTGAAAAAGTGTGAGAACCCAAACTTGTGTGTGTGTGTGTGTGTGTGTGTGTGTGTGTGTGTGGTACATTTTAAACTTGTAATTTAATGGGAATCAAACCCATGACCTTGGTGTTGCTAACGTCAAGCTTGAGATACTAACCTACTATTTACCTTCAGCTCTCGTCTTTCTTTTCAGTCCTTGTAAAAATCCTCAATGGCCTGGCAGCACTCTTCAAATGTGTGATTGTGTTTTCTGTTCACGTTTACTAAAAATAGTAGAAATCACAATTAAATTCAACCGAATATGACACCTATAACTGATGCACATTTATTGACAAGCAAATAAAACTTGCAACTTCCTGCACCAGGCAAGAGTTATTCCTGAACACCCCTAAGACTTCCTAGAGTCTTATTCATTTATTCAATATTTTGGCTAATTTATGACGCGCTCAGCTACCAATAAGACTTCCCTTAAAGACATAGTTCACCCAAAAATGAAAATTCTGTCATTAATTACTCACCCTCATGTTTTTCCAAACCCGTAAGAGCTTCATTAATTTTCGGAACACAAATTAAGATATTTTTGATGAAATCCAAGGGCTCTCAGACCCTCCATAGACAGCAAAGCAACTGACACGTTTAAGGCTCAGAAAGGTAGTAAAGACATCGTTAAAATAGTCCATGAGACATCAGTGGTTCAACCTTAATGTTATGAAGCTACGAGAATACTTTTTGTGCACAAAGAAAACAAAAATAATGACTAAATTCAACAATTTCTTCTCTTCTGTGTCAGTCTTCAATGTGCGTTCACGAGAGTACCACGACGCATTTCTTTGTGCACAAAGTATTCTCGTAGCTTCATAACATTAAGGTTGAACCACTGATGTCTCATGGACTATTTTAACGATGTTTTGGGCCTGTCTATGCAGGGTCAGAAAGCCCTTGGATTTCATCAAAAATATCTTAATTATCCCTTTAACTAAACACATTTTAGCATGTTTGAATTCATCCTACAGATTTTCCTTCAATATTGATGCAAAAAGATCTGCAGATTTGGTCTGGGATTAGTTATTGACTGGGAAATTCTCCTCTGCAGGAGAGAAATTAGATGCTCTGCTTAGCTTGTGCGAGCGAGGCATTTGTGGACGGAATCTAGAGATGCTGGTGGTTGGAAATATAGCTGTTCAGATACCTGACATGGCTGCTGTGGGTTCTCTGAGCTCAGTAAATGAGTGTGTCAGTGTGTGGGTTCATCTGCTTTGGGCAGATGTGAAACGTAAAGAAAAGAGAAACGATTTGTAGAATGTTGCAGGTTTATAATGACTTACAGTGCATAAATTGTATTATATGCTTATAGATGCAAGGAAATGGAAAAGCCGTCATACCTGAGTGGGTCTTCATCTAGATAATAAATGCTGATTTCTTTCATGTCATTGCTCTTGACCTACTGCCTCTCTCTCTTTACAGATATCCTGCAGTATTACCTCACATGTAACGTGGGTCAGGTCAACCCCTTCCAACAGGTAATCATAGCTTCTGCCTCTCTTGAATGCATTGATTCAGATTTGATCTGTTAACTAAGTCCCTCACTTTCAAATCTCTGAGAGATGTCCTCAGAAAAAGTATATCGCCTCTGTTCCAAACAATAGTGAGCTTCCTAACTGGAGAAGTCTGGCATCATAGAGACATTCCCAACAGAAAGGCTTTTGCAAATAGCAGAATTATGCACCATTATACATACCTAATTTGGCAAAAATATAATACAGCATTACATGTGTGCATCATGGAAATGGTAATCCCAGAATTCATTGCTATTAGGTCATTTAAAAAAGTTAGCAACATGCTAACAGGTGTTATTTTAGTATTATTTATATTCTATATCCTATTAATTAAATATATATTATAGTATTTATTAATATTTTGTTTTTGGCAATTTTGGCATTCTTTTGTCATTTTTAAAATAAAAAATAATTTATGTATACTATATATCATTAGTAAAGTTCTAATATTTATTTGATTTGATTTCAGCTTTCAGTTAACAAAAATATTTTAATAGTTAAAGTTACTGATTCTAACATCAGACTCTGGGAGAGTTAGTTTAGTCTTGTGCACTTAGGTGTGAGGGACCATTAATGTTGTTCCTTCTGTAGATAGTTAATAGACGGCAAGGTATCTCACTGGAGTTTGGAAGACAGCCAGTCTCCTCCCTCCGCACACTCCATTACAGGGGAAGTGCCGCCCCCTGTTTAGTTTGCCACTGTACATTAGCATTCTCATTGCGAGCTGCTGTGTGTTCCTTTGGCTTCCTGCCTTTCCCATTAGTTAATGGAGTCAGACTCCACATCTTTATTTGAATAATGTGTGTGCATGATTCAGACAAATCACAATTCTTAACTGTTCATGATTGATGGGTTATCTCAGTGACCGCTCCATTGTCTTGATGTCATTTAATTTAAATGAAGGGTAATGCCCATATGGAGGCTGAATGCTCTACTTTGTCAGCTGATGTCTCTGAATGGAGTTCCTCCAGTTCTCATGCAGCATACAGATGAACTGAGCCTGATTCACATCTGAGACAGCAATGTATTGAAATGGATATTGATTTCAGACTTAAAATGTCGCCAAGGAATATTTTAAGAATATTTCAAGATAAATGTTGAAGATTCTGCAACAAGTTTAATGCTTTATACTTTAAAAATAGTTGCTTTGCTGTCTACAATGCACATAAGCAGTTACCTTCACAAGACATGTTCTGTGAAGGATGCCAAAATTTTGGGTGTGTTTTTGATTAAATAAAAACAAATGAAATGAAATATTACATTTTAAAAGAACTTTTAAGTTTGAATATATTGTAAAATGTATTTCTATGATGGCAAAACTGAATTTTCATCATCATTACTCCAGTCTTCAGTGTCAAATGATCCTCCAGAAATCAATCTAATATGCCGATTTAATGCTCAGGAAATATGTTTTTATCAACATTGAAAAATATTGAAATAGAAATCTTTTGTAACATTATGTCTTGACTGAAAATTTGATCAATTTAATGTGTCCTTGCTCAATAAAAGTAGTAATTTGTATTTAACCTCAAACTTTTGAATGGTAGTGTATATAATGCTGCTTTAGAATTTGACCAAAAGAATGTATCTTCTAAGGCAGCATAATTTTGGTACAAAGTTAGAGTTGCGTTTGTGTTTTTCACAATTCTTGTTAGCAGCACTGAACCTTGCTGTTGCTGCCTGTTGTCTTTAGTTAGTTTCCAGCACTGTTGCCTGCCATTAACACGGTAAACAGAAGTCTTCTGTGAGCTCTGTAAAGAAGGACATGTTGTACTTTCACTGCCTCTTTCTCACTGAATGTCAGCAAATTTTCCAGCCTATCATTGTGGAACTGTTGGCAGACAAAGCTAACACGATGGCCATTTGGCATCTCAAATATTCATGTTTTCAAGACCTGTGCTCTTGAAATGCTCCGCGACACACCTAAATGGCCGGATGCAAGAGCCTGTACTGACTTTAGCTGCTGGGTGTAAATGCACTGTTGCATTATGCAAGCAGCTCTCTCTGCTGCTGCAGTACTAACAGTGGAGTGAGCGTGGGTGTGTGCAGTGGTGAATGAACACTGAGGAAATACTTCTGCACTGGCCAGGAAGTGGAAGTTGCGCAACCCAGTTTGTAATACCTGTCGAGTTCTTAATATTGCATTTGTGTGTCTTCCAGAAAATTACCAGAATCAAATAATTACACGCCTTATTAATAATGATATAGTTTTATGAATTACTAATAAATTCACACTTTATTTATCTAAGACTTGTTTTTCATTTTCATTTGGGTCACTTTAAGTTTTACAAAAATGTGTTTAGATCTGTAGGTTTTTGTGCTAGTTTTAGTATATTATACTAACCAGATTCCTATAAATTCCTGTCTGCCTAAAAAACCTGTAAATGTTGAAAAATACAATATAATTTTTTTCTATATGCTTTATAAGTATAAGGTTGTAAATGAGATGCATTTTGCACACAGCATGTAACAGGTTTTGGTTTTTTCTTGTTTTAGAAGCTGTCAGGAAGTCACAAAGCACTGGTGGAAATGCAGGACGATGTGTCAGAACTACTGTGCTCTGCAGTCCGGGAATACCCCAAAACAAAGGTGAGCGCGTGTATATAGATATCTGCGTGACTCTGTGTTTGTGTTTATTTAGAGCATGCATGTAGTATGTATGGCCCATTTCTCACAGTCCCTGATGCACAAAAGCTTGCAGGTCCTTTTGTAGTGTCTGTGTGGAAATGTTTGTGTGTGTTCACTATCCCTGGGCCTCTGTCATTGTGCAGCATCTGTGTGTGTTCTGGGACAAAGTGATGGCTGACATTCTGTACGTGTGAGAAAGAAAGCCGTCCTCTTGCTAAAACACAAGCGTTGAGAAAAACCGCTGAATCAATAGAAATATTTCACCCTTATAACCAGCCAAAATCTGATTACCACTGCAACTTCATACAACTTAGACCTCACACAACTCTGAGCCTTTAAAAGAAAGAAAACAAGCCTCTCTGCTTTGACATCCTCCTGTGTGAATGTTTTGGTTTGTCGTGTGTGCCATTGTGTGCTGGACTCATAAAGACTAAATAGAAATGAGGATATTGATTATACTTCCTAATGTATGCACTGCATTTACATTTAAATTTAGTCATTTAGCAAACGCTTTTATCCAAAGTGACTTACAAATGAGGACAATAGAAGCAATCAAAACCAACAAAAGAGCAATGATACGCAAGTCTCGGTTAGTCTTTCAGTTTTGTTTTGTTTTTTTTTTATAAATAAAAAGAAAACAAGTAGATAGAATAGAAGAATAATAGAGAATGCTGGTGTTAGAGCAGGGGTAGGCAACGTCGGTCCTGGAGTGCTGATGTCTTGCAGAGTTTAGCTCCAACCCTGAAAAAAAACCTCACCTGCCTGTAGCCTTAGTAACCCTGAAGACCTTAATTAGCTTGTTCAGGTGTGTTTGATTAGGGTTAGAGCTAAACTCTGCAGGACATCGGCACTCCAGGACCGACGTTGCCTATCCCTGGGTTAGAGGGTCATTTTTTTTAATTGAATATAAAGAAAAGTCGAAAGAATGGAAGAATAGAGAATGCTAGTGTTAGAGGGTCATTTTTTTTAATTAAATATAAATAAAAGTCGAAAGAATAGAAGAATAGAGAATGCTAGTGTTAGAGGATCATTTTTTGTAATAAATAAAAAGAAAACAAATGGATTGAATAGAAAGAATAGAGAACGCTAGTTAGGGCTGGGCGATATAGCTAAAAAAATATGTATCAAGGATATAATGTTTCATATCATTCGGTATCGATAATTATTGACATTTTTATACCCTTTTTTAAAACAAAGAGTAATAGAAAAAAAATTGTACATTTAACCACTGTATTTTTAAATTAACTCAGTTTATTGAGACAAATAACAAATATTTTTTTAGTTTTAACAGTCAAACACAAAATAAAAATTAAGCAAATATCTAATTTCTAATGTTTTATATGCAAATTAAATAGGTTAAACTTTTGGCTTGTCTCCCGAGGGCGCAATGAGCAAAATAATGCAGCACATTAAATTGTCAACGCATGGAAATAACGGTCTATAAAAAAACGTGCATTACGTCTAAATTAACTCGTATAAATCAAATATAATTTCGTAAATTTCATAAATTGTGAACAAAACAGCATCACGTATAATGCATTGGTTGCAAAAAGCCGAAGAGCCATTCACACAGACTGCATTTAAAAACATAAGAGACGCAGTGAAAAGGAATAAACCTCCACAAATTCGTGACGTGTTTTCTAAAAGTTTAAACTGTTTTAACTTTGCATGGCTACCTCTCTTGTGTGAGACGCGAGTGCAGTAGTCATATTTGTCCATCTAAAAATGTGCTGAATATGTATCTGTGTGAATGGCTTTGACCTAATCAAGATCTTCTACGCATTAAGCTACTACGTTTCTCTAATATTTTGAATGAATAACACCGCAGCGGTGTGTCTCGTGGGCTAGACTAACAAAACATTAAAATACAATGTCACGTACATCACCGCATCTCGTGCTCTACTGATGACGCTCCCTGACACACTCCTAACGTCACTCATAGCACCTGCCTATATCGTGCACTATATCGAACAATTTTTATACCGCTATCGAAGAAGGTGTACCGTCGATAAATATCAATACCGTTTTATCGCCCAGGCCTAACGCTAGTGTTAGAGGGTTCTTTTTTAAATAAAAAGAAAACAAGTAGTAGAATAGAAATAGAATAGTGTTGGAGCATCAATTTTTTTTTTCTTTTTTAAATAAACAAATAAAAAAAGATAGTATAGAGCAAAGAGAATAAAATAGAACACTACTGTTCAAAAGTTTGTGTTCAGTAAGAAATTAATACTTCTATTTAGCAAGGACGCATTAAATTGATCAAAAGTGACAGTAAAGACATTTGTTATGTTACAAAAAATTCTATTTCAAATAAATACTGTACTTTTGAACTGTCTTTTCATCAAATAATGCTGAAACAAACTGTATCATGGTTTCAACGAAAATATTAAGTACCACAAATGTTTTTAGCATTGAAAATAATAACAAGAAATGTTTCTTGAGCAGCAAATCAGCATACTAGAATAATTTCTGAAGGATCGTGTGACACTGAAGACTGAAGTAATGATGCTGAAAATTCAGCT